CAGAAGACAAAAAACAGGTTGGTCACACAAAACTGAAAAATCTGCCGTAATTTACTCTCCCTTCCTTTATTCCAAACCAGTTTTTCTTTCTATCTTCTGTAAAGAAAATATTTTAAAGAAAGCTGGAAACCTGTAACCATTGACTTCCATAGTATTTGTTTTTCCTACTATTGAAATAAATGGTTACAGGTTTCAGCTTTTTTCTTAATATGGCATTTAGTGTTCAACAGAAGAAAGAAACTAACAAAAGTTTGAAACCACATGTGCCTGAGTAAATAGTACAATTTGATTTGGGGGTAAACTGTCCCTTTAAGAACAACTCCAAATCAATGTTTAATATTTTTAAGTTGAAATCAATAAGGCAGGCTTGTGTTTTACATAATATTTTGTTTTATAGAAAATAAATATGGCTACAGTAGAACTGACAACCGCAAGAGCAAGAGCAAGAGCAATGTCTGTAATTAACGTTAACGTGTTGGCACAAAAAGGGGGTGTATATATATATATATTTATATATTGCCATTGTGCCAAAACTATTTTTGAAATTATTCATATTAAAAGTTTCAAATAATATATATATCCATACACACACACACACACACACACACACACACACACACACACACACACACACACACACACACACACATATATATTATTTAGCATTTTATACGCGTATAATATTGTATTTTATTAAATTAAAAATCATTCCAACCCCCACACCCCCATTTTTCATACCATATACATGTTTTTATGAATTTATTATGTATCATATTGATTCTTCAGGCCTTTTGGTAACTTTAGGACTCCCATGTCTATCATTTTGTTTTGACAAATGTAGTACAAAAAGTCCAAAAGCAAGGCTAGTCAAGATGATATAATCATTTAGTGAGGGAAAAATAAATTGAGAAGAAATTTGGGGTGGTATGAGATGCATTTCTTTGCGACTTAACATGCTTAATGTAATTATACCTTTTTACTACTTCATACTATTTCAGTTGTGTTCAGAACTGCGAAACTGTATTTTTTGAAGCATATTGATATCTTTATTAAAAAATATCTTTAATTTATTGATGGAAATATTTTCCACATTTTATCACTTGCCTGTTATAAAATATTGTTGGATTGAAGGGGGGCGCGCAAAAGTTGAAGCCGCATACTCATCAGTAAATGTGCAGTTGCGCCCCTGGTGCCAGTTCTCCTAATCTCTTACAGTAACATATCCAATTTTGGTTGAAACAATTTGTCAGAAAAACTAAAGCTTGTGCTCCATCTTTTAATAATACTATGAGACATGTTTAATTTGTACGAAAAATGAACGAAAGTCTTTATTAAACTCTCTCTTTATCAGTTAATAAACATTAATTTAACATACACTTTCAGGCCTGTAGCCAGCTTATTGAAAGGGGTTATTTGTTTTTTGAAAAACTGAACCTTTTTGCAGTTATTCACCTGATTTTCTGTTTAATTGAGGTTTAAATATGACATTTTAGTGACATATTAAGAACTAATTTTTGTGGATAATCTTGTTGGATAGTTATTACAACTACACTTTTTGATGTACCAAAACTATTTTCTGCCATTTTGTCAAATTGCTTTATTTACACATTTAAACTGTAAGTTTTATTACAGTTTTATAAATAATAAAAATACTTTGAACTAGAAATTAGGACTTTAAATTAGAATAAAGAAATAAAGTACAGTACAGATGCCAAAACCTCTGAATGCCATGTAAAGTGAGCATTTTTCTCAGCCTTGTATATTTATGTCCAGTTATTTCACTTTAAAAGTTATTTCCACTATGAAAAGAACGTATTTGTCACTATAAAAGTAAAATCACTCAGTCCACGCACAGTAGTTTGGTCTTTCAAACCACCTGACACCCCTTGGCTACATGCATAACTATTTAATTTAACTTAATAAATTGTAAGAAGAGAGGATTACTTAATAATACATTTTAATAGCAGTTAAATAATAAATAGCAATATATATATATATATATATATATATATATATATATATATATATATATATATATATATATATATATATATATATATATATATATATATATATATATATAAACAATATTCATTCTTGGCGGGGGTGACTCGTCCCCAGTCCCCACCAATGTCAAGCGCAAACCTACGCCCTTGTGTGTGTGTCTGTGCTGTGTATGTGTGTGTATCTGTGTGTGTGCGTGAACTGTGCGTAATGACATTGTGTGTGACTCATCGTTGCAAGTCCACAACAAATGCATCAAATACTCATTGGTAAAGTTCTTACTGTAGTATCTCTAACAAACGCTATGTGAGATCGTCCTTCTTTAGGTCTGTCTGTTGTCTGACGCAGCCGAGGGAGGAGATTAAGGCACGCAGAAACGGTGGGCGGGGAGGACTAGCCTTAAAGGCGCAGTACAACAAAACCGCTTTAAAATAGAATCTTATAAAAGGTATAATAAATAATCTGATGGGTGTTTTGAGCTGAAACTTTACAGACACATTCTGGAGACACAAAAGACTCATATTCAATCTGAAAAAAGGGGTAACCTAGGTGCTCTTTAAATCACCTTTCTTCCCTATTCTAATGCTCGGTTTGAACTGCAGAAGATCGTCTTGACCATGTCTACATGCCTAAATGCATTGAATAGCTGCCATGTTATATGGTCAAGATGATCTTCCCCTTGTTTCAACGATTGCTTGAAGTTTAGTGTTTACTTCCACACATGCAATATATATATATATATATATATATATATATATATATATATATATATATATATATATATATATATATATATATATATAGTGGGGGGACACTTAAGTGGGGGACACTTTTGAATCAACCAGGCGAAGATTTAGGAGTGTGTTATTTTAATAAATGTTATTATTTGCTCTTGTGGAGTATATGAAAACATCTTTTGTTTGAAATTACTTATTTAAGACACTCAATATAATATAATACAATTTCTTTGATATTATTATCTATTTTTGTTAATACAATATGTAGATTAATCAATACAGATGCTAAAATGCAGGAGCAGTTTTCACATTTAGAAGTTAAATCATATTTGTGTTTCCCCTCATTTTGTGAATACGAACTGTCAAGTTTACAAATTTCCATCTACATTAATAATTGGCTCTGATGAACACGACAGACTGACCTCTACTGGACAAAGACCTGAACTGACCAGCAGCATTCAACATCAGAGCCATCTGAACTTTAAACACAGCTGTGTGTGTAATATTAATGCTGCATGTAATTAATCCTGTCATCTAAAACCATACACCACAGTATGCTGCAAACTACTGTCAGCTTTTATTACAGTCATACATGAATGACATGCAAAGACAATCAGTATCAGGACAGTAAGCAGGAAAATCCCCCCAAAACTGTGATGAGGGTCAAATTTTGAAAGATGAGACTGAAAAAAAAAAGGTTTTCCACTGATGTACGGTTGTTAGCATAGGACAACATTTAGCCTAGATATATGACAATCTGGAATCTGAGGGTGTAAAAAACAAACAAAAACAAAACTAAATATTGAGAAAACCACCTTTAAAGTTGTCCAAATGAGATTAGAACACACATTCCTAATCAAACAAATAAGTTTTGACATATTTACAGTAGAAAATGTCCTCCTGGGACCCAATCTTTACTTATTCTAATGATTTTTGGCTTTAAACAAACCTTAATTTGGACAAATACAATTAATTTTTGGGTGTTGCTGTGCAACACAGAAACTTATTTTGTACTTATGCAATTTTGTAATTACCCTTTTGTGCTATATTTATACAAAATATACTATGTGTAATATAATAATGTATAATAATCAGTTATAAAGGCTTTGAGCAAATGAGGGAATTTCCTAAAATACACTTCAAACCAATACAGAAATGAAGGCAGATCACATTTTCAGTCAGTCTCTCTTTTCCATATTGTCTTATTGTATGTAGCTAGACTATATCTAGTTAAAATAGAGGAAGAACTTTGTAGATGGCTTCATAATCTTGTTCTGTGAGCAAAATCATCAGTTTAGTCATCACTGAGATATTAAAATACTCTATTTAATGAAAGGAAGTAATTAAAATACTATAGCTCTAATGTAAAGTCTGTGAATTGGCGGTGGCTTTTCTGTTTTGACGGTACAATGTAGATGTGAACCTGTGCAACAATGTAGTTTTATATGCAAATGGTTTATAAGACTGTGCATGGTTGTTTTTATAGCACACTTGTGCTTTCAAACTGTAACAATACACAAATGGATTCGTGTTTTTTCTCTAATCATTGACTATTTCAATTAAGAGTGCAATAATTCTATAATAAATGAATACATTGCACATACATTTTACATTTGTTTTTATATTCACAAGCAAGGGTCATAGGTAATAATTAAGTCCATAAAGAGCAATAACAACATTAGTAAAAGTGTTTTAAAATAGCAATAGTATTTTCTTTTTGCTTTACAATTTTGGCTGCTAATGAAGTAGGCCAGTGGTTCTCAAACTTTTTTCATCAAGTACCACCTCAGAAAAAATATTGCTGTAAAAAATACCACCATAATGAGTAGTATTGAAATACAGTAGCGTTGTAAGCCCAGTAAAGCAGCTACAGCTCTGCACAGTTCAAAGATGTGGCGGATTAATTCCTATTATTAAGAATATTTATTGATGTCAGCCACAATAACAATTGTTCAGAGATGTCCAAACCACGGCCAAAGTTGGCCCATGGTAAACTTTGATTTGGCCCGCCATCCCATCTGAGAAGAGAGGGAGAATGAATAGGATGGTTTCGAGATTGTCAATTCAAATTTAATGTAACCTTTGCTTTTTTATATATTAAAAGCTAAGTGAAATTAAATGTTAAATGTAAATGTAAAAGTAAGATTTTGTTTAAATTTACATACAGTTGAAAATAGAGACTTTGATGAGCGAATCAAGTCATAATAAATGTGATAATGTTTTTATTGCAACAAGTTATCATCTAAAATGTTATCCTGCATTAGGTAATGCGATTTAAAGTAGATCTGAAGAAGAAATGTGTTTAAACACAGCTAAGATTTACATTTTCGGTAGAAAACATCTGTTTTCTTTTGAATGGCGCTGCCTTGCGCTGCTGTATGTAAATGAGCCATGACGTCAAACATTCCATCGTAGTTCTTATAATGATGTAGACGGCATACCGGCTCATTTTCTTGCAACATCTCGAGCGAGTTGTACCGAATCACTATAGATCTGCGTTTTACGTCTGATTTATGGAGTTTTCAGTTGATCGAGATATAACAAATATTCAGTTCGCCGTTGATAACAATTCTCTCGAGTTTGGAAAGAAACATAGAACAATGGGACGAGTTAGAAAGAGAGTTAAACAGTTCTGTAACTGGGCCTCTCGGAAATCCGGGAAAGCCCAGCAGAACCAGTGCACATCCGAGGGCGACCTCGAGCACCGGAGATGTTCTGATGTCGAAGCCGGACCGAGCAACGCTACGTTCATCTCCCACATTCACACTGGAGCTGGTGTTTCACCAAGCCCAGCACCACAGACAAGAGAGAAGAAACTTAAGAGGCTCTGGAAATGGTTTTCTCGGAAATTCAAGAGAACTAGAACCAGAGCCCCACAGGGCCAGCTGAGCAGCCCACAGCCTCAGAGATCCCCTGACGGTGAAGCTGCGTGTGTGTCGCCGAGGACAGTTCATGACGAGCGGGTTAACAGGCGCGTGTCTATCCAGACCCCTGTGAAGACCCCGTCAACAGAAACTGAACGGCACGACGACACTGAATGCTGGGACTTTTCTGTATCTTCTCTTAGCACTGCGGGAAACAGCGAATCCGACCGCGCTTCAGTGCACAGCTGGCACTCGTGTGCGTCTTCGCTTGGCACCCCGGTTATCAGTGAATCTGACCGCGCATCAGTGTTAAGTTGGCACTCTTGTGCGTCTTCGCTTGGTACCGCGGGGATCAGCGAATCTGACCGCGCTTCAGTGCACAGTAGGCACCCTTGTGAGTCTTCGCTGACCGCTGAACACCACAACGATGAGGAAAACGCTTCCAGTGAGGACTCCAGCGTGTCCGAGGACAGCACATCTTCCTCATCGGATTTTTGGAAAACAGAACAGGAAACCACATTTAACTGGGAAGGAAATACAGGTCAGTTTATCAGGTGTTTTTATCCTGAAGTACTTCACTGGAAGTTATATAACAATCCCAAACAAAATATTGAGCTTTTTACTCCACTGCATATGATAATGATAGTTACATAAGTTCTGAGTGAACATATTATAAAAATATCATATTACAGAATATGTTATTATGAATAGCTCTATACTATAACTTAACTGTATTCATGAGAAAAAAATGTTCCTTAAAGAAAATATTTCTGAAGTGTTTTTGAGAATTGCACTAAAAGCATTTTGAATCGTAATCATTGTTTAGCTGATCAAGATTTTTTTGTGAATCTGACCAGGTTTATATATCAGCAAGGACTGATGTTAAGTGTTTGAGATTATTTAAACTACTGAACCTGACCCGTGCATGCCAAGCTCAAACGTTTGAGTGTCTGTCTATCATAACATGGCTAAGATTGGGGCTGCATGATATATCAAATTTAGCATGCAATATCCATATTCGTGTCAGGACGTAATAATAAATGAGCAGATTTTAAAACATACCTATGCCATAATATACCTATAATATAGATATCAGAGAACAACTGATCTGATTGAACCAGTCCATTATAAGGCACCTTCAATAATAATAGTTTGTTAAAATAGAGCTATTCTAAAGCAATCTTCGCTCAGATTTTTGATGGTTTATGCTATAAATGTACTTCATTGTTTGTTTCTTTGTTTTATTTACAGGTAGAATCTCCCAGGACTATAAAATCCATCACTTGATTGGTCAGGGATCAACAGGAGTCATCTATGATGGAATTCGTCTGTCGGATTGCCGAATGGTTTGTTTCAGACATAACAAAAAGATTTTGGGCTTTTCCCTTGAAATGTAAATTTGACGAATGCCGCATGGCTGGATCGTGTGTATTAACTTTTGCTTTCTCTTGGTCAACAGGTGGATATTAAATGCGTGAAGAAGAGCAAATCAATGGAAAGGATCACCATTGTAAGTACACACTCGCAACATTGTTAAAAATAGTCTACACTTCAGTTCAATCACATCTCACTAATACGTCTATTATCTCTCCTGCAGGAACCATCTGACAAGACTGTTCCACGAGAGGTCGGTTTGATGATTATGATGAGCAGAGGTCCGAAGGTTCCTCAAGTTATACAGCTGCTGGACTGGTATGAGGCACCAGACCGATACATACTGGTGCTGGAGCATCCCAAATCAGCTGTGAGCCTGGACCAGTTTGTATCCTCTTGTGGGAACAAAATCAGCGAAGCGAAAGCACGAGTGGTGATGCACCAGGTGATCACTGCTGCCAACGCATGCTGCGAAAGGGGAGTCTACAATAACATCAAGCTGGAGAGCCTGCTCATCAACCCCCACACCTTGCAGGTCAAACTGATGGACTTTGGCATGGGAAGCCTCATTAAGGACTCTGGCTATACAAAATTTTGGGGTATGTATGATAATGGCCACAATTTATGTGAAGTTATTTTGTTGATATGGATATTTAGCGAAAAAGCTAACTGCATTGGGACTAAATCTTTCTCTTTCTTCCAGGCTCTATAGCTTGTATTCCCCCGGAGTTCTATCAGAAGGGAAGGTTCCACGCCAAGCCTGCAATCGTGTACTCTTTAGGCAAACTGTTGTTTAGGATGCTGTGTGGACACTACCCTCATATGGAGCTCCACAAGATTGTCAAAAGAACCTGGCAGCCTGAAGACCTATCCAAAGGTGAGAGCATGTGGATGATGAAACAGGATCTTAAAACATGTGATCATTTACACCAACCGTAAAGTTTTCTAATAACCTGACATCTCCCCCTTCTTTCTTCACAGAAGCCGTAGATCTGATCTGCTCGTGTCTGCAGACTAAGCCAGACAAGCGGCCTCTACTTGACGAGATCCTTCACCAGAGATGGTTCCAGGTCTTCATCCTGAAGCCAAACAACAGACGAAAAGATTAAGATCAGAACATCCAGCCTCTTCATCCAGCCTCTTCATCCAGCCGTCAACACCAAACTTCTCCTCTTCATCGATCCACTAACACCGAACTCCTCCTCTTCATCCAGCCACTAACACTAAGCTCCTCTTTTATATTCAGCCAGAAACTCCGTCAAGCCACAAACATGGGGCAGTTTGTGGCTTTACGAAGAGAAAAAGCTGAATGGGGCTGGTGTTTGTGGTTGCGTGGAAAGGAGGAGCTGTTTGGGGCCGGTGTTTGTGGTTGATAAAGAGGAGGAGCTGAAGGGGGCCGGCGTTTGTATCTGGATGAAGAGAAGAAGATTTTTTGTTTATTTTTGGAGATTGTAAATAAATGCTTGTTCTGTATGTAATGAATAAAAATGAATACTTTTCACATATTAAGTGTTTTCATTTCCTTCAATATTAACTTAATGCACTCCTATAGTTAAATTGTTGAACTGTCCTGTCTTCACCTAGCAGTTGAGGTTGCCAAACAATGGCGTTATATTGTTTCAGGTTTTACAAAATGGCAGTGATGCCTGTATACTTCACAACTTATTCCATTCATTTTGACTTTTAGAGCGCTTTTTACAATGTAGATTGTGATAAACAGCTTTACATAGTTCTAGCAAAATAAACTGAACTTCAACTATGACAACTGGACTGAAGCGGTTTTGTTCAGTGTAATGTGAAATTACTACTAATTTGAGGCGTCACCCTATTCAAGGAAAATAGTTTTTAATTAATTTACTTATTTTGCTAACAAAATTTCACATTCATAAATGTAAATTTACTAATCAAATTTTAAGGTGTTGATGGCTGAATTATGCTTATATATTAGCAGTGTCAGAGACTCTCTAAATAAGAAAGCCCTACACACTTTAAAACTTTATGAATTCTACAATGTATTTAATTATTACATATAAATATTCTGTATTTGTATTTGATTTATACTTACCCTCTGGCATGTATATTTTTGTGCAGTTAAAATTTCTTCCACAGTCCAAAGACATGCGCTATAGGTGAACTGAATAAACTAAATTGTCAATAGTGTGTGTAAATGTTAGCGTGTATGGGTGTTTCCCAGACACTTAGTTGCAGCTTTAAGGGCATCCGCTTTGCAAAACATATGCTGGATAAGTTGGCGGTTCATTCCGCTGTAGCGACCCTGATGAATAAAGGGACTAAGCCGAGAGAAGGACAATGAATGAGTGAATGACTACGAACCTACTGTACACGTTTCATGTTTGGGCAATGGATAAACAGACACTGTCACGTGTTATTAATGTACTTTACCTACATTATTTGAACGAATATGAGGTCCACATATCAATTTTTTGAATTTCAAAATGATAGCTTCTGAGTCGTAATTGTCCCTCGGTTGTGTCCGTAGAAAGTCTTCCTGCTTGCTGTTGTGACATCATGGTCGAGCAGGTTTGAACCGTTGTATGAAACTCATGCTGTGGAAATTGTACACATTCAAAGCGAACATTTCTGCTGTCTGAAGCGATAAAAGCCAGAGGCAGCCTGACGTTCTTCGACGTCAGCATCGAAGGGGTAAGTAGTTTTAAATGCCATGAGGTGGATTTTGTGCTCTTTGGAGTGTGAAGTTAATCTATATATTCAGGTTATATGTGTATAATCTGCTTGTAGACTTGCATACCATTAAAACAATTGGACATGGGAAATGGCTTGAGGAAACAACTAGGGGTCATAAAAGAAGGGATGAAAAGAGAGTGGTAAAAGAGCCTGAGGTGTCTCAGGAAACAGATGTCAGAGGTGGAATTTGGGGTTAGGGGAGGGATCTTGTGTAATGTATGGAGAACAAAGGAAAATAATTGTTGTCAAAGTGTATTTAAAGAGGCCAGGAGATTAGAGAGGCAGAATTTTTCAGACAGAGATGCTACTGGGGGTCTCCTGAAAGTTCTCCTTTGTTGTCGACAATAAAGTATATTCTTCTGATATTCATAACCTCCAGACTGAGTTTGATTGAGTAAGAGAAAAACCAAGAAAACCACTACATTTGGCGTCCCTCTGGGTGGGCTGGAAAGGAGCAGGGCTGGTGTTGCTGTGCATGCTGGACTGGAGAGAAAACACAAATATGTGGCCACAATAAAAAACGGTAAGCGATTTTATGCTTAATAGTTTGTGTTTTTTCTGCCAGGACCTGCCTGTACAGGTAAATACACTTGAACTGTTTCTCCAGCTTTAAAGAATTAAAAGTAAATGTAAAAAAGATATTAAAGAAAAAAGGGGTTTTGAATAACAGAAGAAAAAGAATTTGCATGCAAATGATCTGTGTTTTCCTAAGAGGGCCTTGATGGATAGGATAAACATTAACTAGTAACTGTTACTCAGATTTGGGAAATTATTAATGATATAAGCATTTATAAGTTTTAAGAGAGAGTCTTTAATGTGTGGTGACAGTTAAGAGATTAAAGCAGAGTAAGGTATGCAAATGATCTGTGTTTTCCTAAGTGGGCCTTGATGGATAGGATAAACAATCACTAGTAACTGTTACCCAGATTTGGGAAATTAATAATGATGTAAGATATGCATAGAGCATTTATAAGTTTTAAGAGAGAGTCCTTAATGTGTGGTAACAGTTAAGAGATTAAAGCAGATTAAAGTAGAGAGATGCGCGCAAAGACCTACGATACCGCTTTGTTTGAGGAGATAAACAAAGGGCTGCATGGGTAGGCGAAAGCCTGTGGTTACCGCTCTAAGGTTAGAGGGCTGCTCGGACAGGTCACTCAAGAGGAGTGTAGTGTAGAGTATTTATTTAATTGAAGTGTTTGTGTATTTGCTGCTTCAGATTGTGGCAAAATAGTCCACATTGGTGGGCAGAGAAGACTGCCTTCCTCCTCCTTGAATGGAATGAGGATGGGGGGATGCAGCTCCTATTACACTGAGTGGAGGAGAGGAGTGAATGAGAAGAGGAAAAGTAATAAGATTAGAAGTGTGAATGTGTTTAAAAGTATGTTTTCAATAAGAAGTAGGTTAAAATAATGATTATAGTATATTATAATATAAAAGGAGGGCTGCATATGTGTGGTGTGATTTAAAGAACAATAGGAATAGTGATTGATGCAGTTTAAGAGAAGAGATTATAATATAAAGGAGGAGTCTCCTATATCAAAACTAATGGAACATGTTGCATTTGAAAGACACAGAGTAAAAAGCAGAAGAATATACTAGTTACACATTTTTCTGAAATTATCTTTGTGTTTTAAGTTTGAATATGTTAAAAAAGAACAATAGGCAGAGTGAACTTAAATTCCTGACATAGCAATGAGTGAAAGACAGTCTGCTCCAGGATGGGGGTAAGGGAGAGATTTATGGTGTCTATGTGTGAACAATAGATTGCCTATTTACAGCACTAGGGAAACAGAGAAGAGGAGAGTAAAAGAGAGGAGATCAAACTATAGATAAAATAATGACATAGACTTTAACATAATTTGGATAGAATATAAGTTATTAATGAATAGATAAATTATAAAGTAGTATAGTAAGAAAAATGAAATGAGGAAATACTAATAATAGAGTTATATTATATAGAAAAGAGTTTGAAACTTTACTTATGAAAAAGAATAAATGAAGTCATAGTGATCAATATATATAGAGATAAAGGAAGTATAGAGTAAAAGAATGTATTAATAAACAAATAGATTTACTAAATAAGTATGAATGAACAAATTATAAGTTAGTTCTTTGATTGAGAATAAAATAGAAAAAGAAAACTTGAAAATGAATATTGATTAATTGAAGATTTAATTATAAAATGTGTAACAAAATAAGTTTTAAAATGTATAAGAAAACTTAAGAGCTAAAAACTTAAATTACAGAAAGGAAAAAGAATAAAATAGAAATAGGAAAAAATAAGTCCACTGTTTCATAGATAAAATTAGATGTTTAAAATATGCTTACAATATAGGCACATTGAACAGATAAGATAAAAAGAAAAAAGCAGTAACAATTTAAAGAAATAATTGACTTTA